TTAAAGGTATATACCTAATATTCGAACAAAAATTACATTTTAAAGCCCCAATTAATGTTATACGTATAATAGGATTAGGTATACCGTATAACTGCTAAAATATATAGACTCGAATATTTTTGTGTGTAGACGGTAGACACAAGACATTAATGCAATAAATAATTATTTTTCCAGCTCAAATTTCCACCAAGATAACCTTCGCACTAGATATGAGTTGGAAAATATTGGTATTAAAGGCCTTCCCGGATAAAAAAAATTCATATTTGCGCTGTTCAATGTAACAATTAACAACTATTATACAACTCAATTTTGCTCAACGCCGTCAGCGGTCACCACTAACTAACAGCATACCGGGTTTTATTTTCTCTTTTGTACCTGACCATAGCTCGAATTTCGTTGAACACATACTCAACAACTATAGACAATTAAAATACGCCTATAATATCAAATATATGAAGTACGATTACAAGCTGATAAAGGTCTATGTATAGGTACATAGTTATGAAATAAATAAATTAAATTTAGGTATTCTGTACGAATGCACCAAAATCAATTACACCTAGAAAAGTACGCTGATTTCACACCGAATCGTATATGCACCCACACATATTGTTAGGTTCAATTATAGGGTGTTCGATGATCCGTTTGTAATACGATAGTCACGTGAGTGCATTTACTTAAGTCGTTTAAAAAAAATCAAATGAGATAAAACCCCGCGGGCAATGCTAACAGCTAACGTGTGCTGCAGGCATCGACAACCCTCACTCATACGTTTTTTTTTCTATTAATTAACACCGTTAATAACACTCTGGAATAATATAATGCACTTACAATATTTTGGATTGCGTTCAATTGAAAAATGTGCTTAGGTAACATGCGGGCGACCGAAAAGCGTCCAAAACGCTCGACAATAATTATTCTATATAATGTGTGTGTGTGTCACGTGTGTGTGCTGCAAGCACTTGATACAGTTTAAATTAATATCATATTACTCTGGCCAACTGTTATTCTAGCAGGACGTGTTGAAGGGAATATTCGCGGCGCGTAGTCCAATAAACATAATATTTTAATCCACGAACCCTTTTTGAACAATATAATAATTTTTATTTATTTCTGTTTTTATAATTTAATTTTTTTTTGTGTATAGGTATGTACATATCAATGCAAAATTTCCCATTGCTCAACGGATATCAAATATAATGTGGGTATTTATTAATTATACAAAAGCGTACATATATTATTATTTGAATAATATTATATAGATAAACGATATACAAATAAGATTTTTCCAACTACTTGTAGTCATAATTTAATGTATTCGTGATGGGTATAACATGCTAAAAATATTTAAAAACATACAAAAACAAATCAACGTGAATACATAATATATTATGTTTTGCAACAGAACATATACCTACATATTTATATTGAAAACATATACATAACTATATTGCAAACCTTTATTTTTTAGTCTTTTCGATTCGACTTTGTCACCAAAACACGTAGATAACTTTTATTTTTTTCCCCAATCGATACGCAATTTGTGTTATTGGGTTTTGCAACATCCATTATGTGTTTTTAGCTATTTTTCTTAGAAATACACCACAGGGTACACAATATTTTTTTTCACTGAGTCATATTTATTCGGAATACGTTGAATTGAAATTCAAAGATTTTTTTATATATATAATATAATGTTGCGTTTGTACAAAATAAATCCTTATGATTATATAGACATATATATTTCACATTTCTATTTTCAAATAACACGTATAGATATGTATTCCATAAAAACTGTTACATTTCTCACAATCTAATATCGTCTGCAACGTAATCATAATAACTTATTTTTTATAATTCGAACACCTAATCAATAAAATTATCATTTAAAAATACTACAAACAACGTAAAATTGCAATATACCTAACTACTATACATAAATATTTTAAAATTCAAAAGATCAATATTTATAAAAATATTTAAAACAAAAATTGTTTGTGTTGAATATGTAGGACGTAGGTCCGTGTCAATAACCATTACATAATGTGGAATCCAATATGCTAGTTATAATATGCTATTCGAGCAGAAGAATTACGTATATAATTCCAAATTTTTGCGACATGAAACTTTATTGACGGTATCAATTGAATAAGCCAAGTAAGTATATATAGAGTATATAAATACTGTTTTAATGTTTTATAATATGTAAATTAGTATTATTGTTAAAATGATAAATATAATATTTTGTTAACATATTTATATACTCTATATAGGTAAACTAATAAACAGTTTAAAAGCCTCAGTGTATAGACTATTTATTTAAAACAACAATATATATTTTTATAATAAAAAATTGCCTATAAGTATTATAGTCAGTCAATTCACCAGTATAAGTATAATGCTATGTACATATGTATATGGTATACTAATAATTAATTGAATAATTTTATAGAAGTCGTTTATACTATAAAGTAAAAATCAGTACCTATCTGAAATTAATTTAAAAGCATTAATGGGGGACAGTTTTGGGTAACGATGCACTGATTTTTTAATAAAGTATTTAAAGTACCTAGTAAAAATTGCAATATTTAAAAAAAAAATTAATTTCCTCTGCAGCTTTTGAAAAATTCGCAAGATATCGAGAAATTAAAGATTTAACAACATTTTAACAATTTTTGAAAAGCATATTCCAATGTTACCCATCTAAATCCTGCATGAACTCCACTTTTCGTCATTAAACCTAAATTGTATAATATATAATATAGTGTCCCGTCCACTTACTATTGTCTTAAAAAATGTATATTGCAATAAATTAAATGTATATTTGGCATGTTATAATTTTAATAGATTGGTAAAATGAAAAATATTATTCTATAAATCAGCAGAACTTTGTGTACACGGTCATATTATTATGACGTACCTATGCATATAATGTACACCCGCACGACAATCGAATAACGGGACGTACCGCGGGCACGCACATATATAATATATGGAAAATAAAATGTCTATAGTTTTTCATATTTTTATACATATATATATATAGTAACCGCCAAGGCATTATATCTACATATTATAGTAGGAAGGTATATCAATTGCAGTCGTTATCTATCCAGCTCATACTCCGACTGTAATGCTGTATATATAACGTCAATGTTTGTCCCGATTAATCCTTTCAAACAAAAACCACGTATGAACTTTATACGTATAAATATATAATATGTAGATTATATTATGTAGGTATACACCTCGGATGTATATACACACACGTTATCAATTCCGTCATCGTCGCCCGCTTTGGTTGGTATATATATTCAGTATACAATAATAACGCATGTAAGGGCGAACAAAATATTATAATATTGTGTCGAGTTTTTTTTTCAATTTTCACGTGTCGGAGCTGGTTATAATATATATTACGGGGGAAAAAAAAAGTCGTAGGTCGAAAATTCCCGTTTGCCCCCCGAGTGTTTGTTTTTTCCAAACTCAGATAACGATATTTATACAGAAAAAAAAATAGACGTTTACGGCCGAGATGCGTGGAAGGGATAACGCGTCGCCGCCCGCGTTCTAAACGATTATGAATATTTTTTTTAATTTAAAACTTCCAAAGGTAGGAAAAAATAAACCATATAGCAGGTAACCTCTGTATACAAGTATTATTTCGTATAGGTACCTAGCCCTACCTATATAGTATATTATATACTATATACCTATATACCACAAATACACGAGTGGATCGATACAGTTTTCGAGGGGGCACATGATGTAGTCTTATCAGCTCTAATAATATATAATATAATAATATCAGCTCTATATTATATTGTAATAGGTACATAACGTACCAACAGTGTTGTGGAGTAACTTAAGTTACAATTTACAAGTTACAGTAGCTAAAGTCGCTAGACCATATATGTATGTAAATATAAGAAATAGGTAAAAGTAGGATTTTCTTACAGTAACATTTTTTTTTCCAATTTAACTTAAGCCGGGCGACTATGGCTATTATTAGCTATTAGGGGGGTTATGAGCTGTGATTAGTAAGGTTGGTACGGTAAGGTGTTGTTACGGTAGGTAAGCAACATATGTATGTGTGGCAAGGTTATAACTACTGTACGAACCATCCGGGAGCTAGTAGCTGCTGGCGTTACTTACTGTCAGTCGCATGGTGCGACTGGGAGCAGCCAACGCGCCAAGTCAAGCCACAGGTAACATTTTTGCGGCGGTTAAAGTGGGAATAATATCCAGATGGGACTAATGTTTTCATATAGTTTTAAGCGTTCCATTATATAATATAATTTTATGTATAAAATCCTAATTTGTTAAAGGGGGCGCTTTTTAACCGCCGTCAGAGGTAGGGGGACTGAGTCCTCCTGCGCCCTCCCCCCCACTTTAAAACCTGCATTTTTGTAATACAAAATTGTATTGACAAGAAGTTTTATTTTTTTATAAATTGCAGCTTGGAGAATGTATTGTTATTTTAAATCAATTTAAATATTGAGAATAACTCAAATTATCTCTATACTTGGGTTCTTGGAATAAACATTTTATATTATTTCATATTGTTGCTTGTCATTATACTTATATATAGATAATGTATTGGCAATATTATATCTTTTAAACTCCAATGATATTTTCAAAAATAAAAAGTAATTTTAATTATAACAAAGTTAGTTTTTTGAACTCATAAGCAATGTAACTTGACCAAAAAAAGAAAATAGCAACTATTGAGAATAATTTAATAACAATTTTGAATGGTAATTCATAATCTATATGACGACTACCAAAAGTTGTGACTTCTTCAACACTGCGTATCTACCCATAACCCTATATTATGACGTATCTATAATATATTATACAAAACAATAACTCACCTATTTTAATATTTCACCGTATACGCGCGAAACCGTTGGCACCGAGACCGGCAGTGCGGCGGCGTGCGATCGTCGTCGTCGGCTGCGGCGGCGGCGAGTCGCGGGCGGCGCGTGCCGGGCGTAATATCAGACGTAGTCGGACGGCAGCGAGTTCTGCCGCTGATGGTTATGATGATTGTGATAAGGGTCGATTGGCTCGTACATGTCCGAGTAGTAGGCGCTGCTGTGCTGGTCGAACGCGTAACCGGCGTTGTGGTAAGCGGGCGTCGGTACCCGGTCCAGTTCGGTGTACAGCACGTCGTCGGCGGTCGACAGTGGCGGTGGTGACATGTTGTGCGGCCCGTCATCCTGGCCTCCACCGATGACGGACGCGTACACCACCACCGGTATGGCAGCGGCAGCTTCTTCGACCGTGTAATGGTTGGCCCGGACGGCGTTCTGATTGGACGGCACGGCGTCCGGCGGCAGCACGGCGCCGCGTTTCCGACGGAACCACCGGAACCAATCGCCCGGGTTCACGGACAGCTGATGCCCGACGCCACCGCCGCCGACACCACCGTCGTCACCCCCGCCGATCATGCCTCCGATGAGGCCCCCACCGACTCCCCCGCCCCCACCACCACCACCACCGATGCCGTTACGGACGCCACCACCACCCGACGGCCGTCCCGGTCCCGTGTGCTTGATGGACGACGTGCCGTCCGGGCCGCCAGACCGACGGACGATTGGGCCGGCGCGACGGTTGTTCAGCTGGTTGTTCAGATGGTTCATGTGGTTCAAGTGGTTCAGGTGGTGGTGGTCCCCCGCCGCTATCTGGGCGATCTGCCGCTGGTGGTGGTGCAACTGCTGATGGTGGTGATGGTGGTGCACCCGGTCCGTGGGCGGATCGAACGACACCAAACATTCTGCACACACAACAAAATAACGACATATAATTACTATGTATGTACATTGTACACCTGAAATTATTATTGGGTATAACAGTCCAAATAATGTATAGTATATACATCTAACATAATATATGATATGCCCACAAGGTACAAAAAACCGAAAGAAAATAATAACAGTCAAATAATAAAAAAAAACATTTAGACGTCTACTCGTTTGGGTTCGATGAATCGTATTTTATGTATAGATGATTGGAAATGAGTAACGCAAAAATTGCCAACATTCATATAAGTACTATAAGTTTTATTGTGTTCGAAAAATATATAATATTATATATTTGAACATTCTTTAAAAAGCAGTAAGAAACACGATTTAGCCGCGCGCTCGACCTCCTAATAAGCGTTAAACCAACGAAATTATTCATACGGTGTCACCCCCCACGCCCCTGTGCATTACACGTGCAGCCCCAAAAAACTTGCAAATTAACATTTTATTATATTGTATTTTTTTTAACGAAAATACGTTAAGAGTCTTGTTTTACGATTATGTTTATTTCGTATTTACTGTGGTGTTTATATATGTTCGTATTTTTCTTTTTATAGCACACTATAATATATATGTGTAGACAATGTACGCATAAACGATGTACATATAGGTGAGTTTTAGAGCAACGTCATGTACAGCCATACAAGGTATTATATTCGTATAATATTATGATATCGTTTTATATTTATGAAGTATTCGTTTTTTAAAATCCTCTCTCCGTTTTAGCTTACATCACACGTAGGTACTGCAGAAATACGCATACATATATTATTATATTTAATATTATAATATAATATGACGGAGGTAAAATACAAAGCTGGCTGAGATTGAGTCATTTATTTGCTTAGATACTGTAAAAAGTATTTATTAAAATAATATATTTTATACCGCAGAGTTGAATTTGGAATATTTTTTTTTCAAAAATAATGTTCACATTGATATACACGGTATAACTATATGCACCGCCCAAATAAAACGAAAAATATGAATACCTACTGAATACATATTAATATATTATAGACAGAAATCAACAAGTTAACGTACAAGAATTGAATATTGGAAAAGAACCAATATTTAAATAATCTTTACTCTTTAGGTACCTACTTAAATAATAAACCAGATATGTTTAAGCGACTGTAGCAGTTAATTCATTTAAAGTATAATGATTATATTATTATTCCCATCAAAACACGTTTTATATTTAACGCGAGTTGTAAGTTACACACAAAATTACTTTTCTTTTACGATCGTAATATTTAATGAGGTGTAAATTAAAATATTTCCGAAACAGAAAAAAATGATTTATACTCAGTTATAATTAATTATTTAATGAAATAACGACGTTAAACAATATTATATACGTGTATAAATAATATATTGACAACGAATTAATTAATGTCAATATCATAACACGTTCGTTAAGAATATTATCCGTTGACATTATTAATACAATATTATATAGGTAGTAGGTACCTATATACTTTATAGTATATACTTTAAAAAAAACTTTTAAATTTGTAGTGTAAATGACTGCATTATATTATTACATAAGAAAATATTTGCATTACCTTTATTAAAACGTGTGGATATAAAAAAAATTAGTATAATGTACTGGAGCGCGTTTTACATAAATTATTTGTCGAAAAAGTTAATGAAAAAGCTTTTTATGTTATTAATATATTTTCGAGCAAGTACATGATATTATTTTTGTTAAAAGTTATTGTTCCGTACTCAAGCCGTAATAGCCGTTATAATATACTACGACGGTCGTAGCCTGTAGGTGATGGTACTCGGTAGTCGGTATATTGCTACAATATCATTATATATAAAGGTACCTACATTGTATGGGTTATGAGTAACATACACACAATATATTATAATATCTTATTAATACTACTCTGTTGTGCAAAAATCATGTCGATATTATATAGTTTATACACCGTGAAAAGTTGTTAGCGTTCCAAATTTCTATCGTATAAATCCTGAGTTTTTTGGCTTCAGTGTAATACACACACGGTAATTTTGAAATATATATTTATATTAGAAGACCATAAGTTTACGACCGTAATATTTTACACGCATATAATAATGTAGTCGTTGTAATATCATATACCATCATGCACATTTCACAGCAATATGTAGGGAAACGGAAATTGTTTTCGTGATATTGTTATCCGAACGAACGGTTATAAATTATAATAATATAATATATAAGGTGATTCCTTCAACAGTTAACACTAACTAAATGCTAAACAGTCTTTTTCTCGGTAATTTGTGTTTGAAAAAACGTTTTCGCTTATCTAACATTGAAATGCTTATAAGTTATAATTTATTGACTATACTGGTTCCTAATTTAGTTCTAATTTTTTATACATCGACAATATTTGACTTTGGAATATAAAATATTTAATATATTTATGTTTTGTTTGAAGCACCAATATTACTTTAAATATGATAACGAAAAATAAATAGTAAGAAATATATTTATTTTTTCTAAAATAGGGTGTTGTAATGACTTCAAATTATGTGAAAAAATAAAAGTAAAAACCCACAAGATGACCAAGAAAATGAGAGTTTGGTGATAAAAGAATCATTCTGTATAATATAATGTGTGTTATAACAATGCATGCAACATAAGTATACATTATTATTATACAGGTGTATTATAGGTACCTATATGTATATAATGTGTACACGCGGGCGGAAAGACTGTCGTCTGAATTGTAAAAGGGAAAAACGTAGATGTATTAAATAGCAGCAGCGGCAGCAGTGCGCCTTGGAAACGTCCGACTGACATCCGATTGAGAACATAAATTTAGAATAAGCGAAAAAAGGAAACGGACCGAGTGGTACGCAGAGAATATATACTGTCCATTATTATCTCTCCATCGCGGCGATACGCGCAGCAGCTAGCTAACGTATTAATTTATACTCGAGTTGGTATTGTTCTGTCAGCGGACTAAATAAAAAATGTGTTTGGGATACCTATATATACCTACACACTGGCATACATATAATATATTATATATTATATGCTCGTTTCCACAACTCCTGATGCACCTATATACCTATACTACTATATACTTGTATATATATATATATATATATATTTATCTACGACACGACGTCTATGCACCAACCTATAGTGTGTATGGGTATATAGGTACCTACCTATACATAAATATTATTATTATATACGTTTTCACCGGGTGTACGCGTTTCTGTGCAGTTGTCGCCACCGACTCTGTCCCGTAGTACGTATTAAAATATATCATCGCATGCGACCTCGTTATACATAATATTATATATGATAATGATAATATTATTATAATGTGCGACCGCGTTCCGAGCGTATACCTCTATATATAAAATATATATAAATATGTTAAATGACGTGCGTGATATTTAACTCGCAGCGATAGATCATCTAATAATAATACGTAATATGTATATAATATATCCGTAAACGCACAACTCGGGCACATGGGATATAGTATATTATATTATACATACGACGATAAATATATTATAATATAGTGTGCTCGACGCGAGTTCAATTCTTCAAAATTTTCTCACACGACCTATCGGCGTGGAGAACAGATATTATAATATACGACGAGGAGTGTATTATATACCTATAATAAACGCATCGGACAAAAGTTTTATGCGTCCGCCACCGAACGGAATATAAATTATACCGCAGCGCATATACAATATATAATAATATTATAATATACTCGTACACGGGTATACCTATCGTTATTTAATATTTATTATTATATTGTGTAGGTATATTATATGTAGTGGGTACATGTGCGTTCATACCGCGATAATGTACATAATAATATAATGTACACGAAACGAAATAATTCTGATAATTTTTTTTCTCCCTTTACCCCCGCATCACGATATGTTATTATAACGCGCAATGGCGTGTTGATCCCAAACGTGTTTTTTTATTTCGTTTCCACTCGCCAGCGCGCGCACGTTGCATAACATCACACGCTAACACAATTGTTTTTTTTTTTTACATAATATATATTATTATTATAGCTGGAAATCGTAAAAATGTACTACATAAAACCTTGTTTGGGTTAGTTAAAATTTGACGATCGCGTACAATATAAATGTATTAGTTTCCTCGTTTTCGTCGTCGTTGTTGTTGTTTGTTGTTTTATAGCCAATATAATCGCATTCTGCAGTTTGTTCGAGTCCTCTGAATATAAAATAAATATAAGTTTCTACCTGTGTATATATTATTATTATATATTGCGTTTTATGGGTGGTATAAGCTACCTATATAAACACTGACCCTTTATTAGGTACAGCTTACGCGCGTTTTACCTCGACACTTATTATGTCATATATAATATAAATACGACAGGTACCTAACTTAGCTTACTATAGGTACCTCCTATACGAGAGTATTGGCGGAATTTAGCATTTTGTTGTGGAAACGATTTTCTGAGAATAATTATTATACAGAGAGAGTGTGTTATGCGCACTCGAATCGTTATTATTATTTAGTTTGCGAGATTATATTATGTGCACACTGAGGTTATACAAACACACTATATATGCATAACGCACTGCTGCCGTATATACTGCACACACATCATGGAATTTTTACCTCGCAGATGGAGTAAATTAAAGAAAAAACGCAGTGTCAATAATAAAAACCATAATTCCACCAGATGTTCCTCCCTCCCATCGAGCAGATATATTCTGGGAAAAAAAATATATAAGACGACCCCACATTTTCCTCGAACGGCGGGCGGCATCGCGGCGACCGGCGTTCAAAGGATATAATACCGTGTCGACCGTGTTATAACTTCTAATTAAAACATCCAACACGATGGACCAACCACGTAAGGTTATAAAATATTTTTATTTATTCGGGATTTATAAGCTACTTATAATGACTTTTCAAAGTGGTAGTTGTCCCCTGGTATGATTTAGTGCTATGTACTGATGTTATTATAAAACAAATATTTACCTACCCGCGAGCTTTCAAAGTATATTATACAGTAACATTTAACTCTGAGAGAAAATTGAAAAACTATGTTACATAAAGGCAAATTTATTCACCCCGCTGTGTGTGCGGCCCTGCTAGAAACGTTACATACAAGTAGGTACAATTTTTTTTTTACATTATAATCATTACATTATAATGGATTTGATTGGAAAAGCCTAAAATTTTGCACAAACATATTTTCACCCCCAGCTGGTGTCACATCAAAGGACTCGTTTTAAATACTCTTATTAACTAAAAATAATTACATAATATATAATAGTATAATAATTTGTAATCTCGGAAAGGTTAGTTAATAATCAGTTGTAACCTATACAAAGGGGTATGATTTTAATTTTTTTATTAATAATCATATATTACTTAGTTCGCTTTTAAGTAGAATTAACACTGCAGTTTATTAGGTGCGGGTACGAAAATAAATAAACAGGTTAAGAAAAAAATAAACTGGTAGAATAAAACGCAAATCAAATTGCAAAGGAAATTCTAACAGGCGCGCACGTGTGACTACCTACGTATACAAACGAGTTGGTGACGACATAAATATATTATAGGTACATTATAATGGCATATTTTATATTATATTAAACATGTTATAGTAGGTATACACCTAATAATGCGTCTAACTCACCTGGCCGAGATGGCGCTGTGCGTCCGGAAAGTCGTCTGAAACAAAACCAAAAAAAAAAAAATTGTATTATTTTAAGGTATCTATATAATATATATACCAAGTTTTTTTTAGTGAAACACACTCACTATACGCGATAATATTAATATTTTATTATACGTTTAATCGTCAAATTATACGATCTCCAGACACTCGATTATGAGCGTTTTTCTTTTGCGTGGGAGACGGATCTCAGATCTACGATCTCAATCGCGTATTTAACGTGTCGGTTTCACATAATATATTATTAATTATTAATAATATAATTTTATGTTATGGCGCGTTGCTATACCGCTGCAGCAGTGTTTTGAAGGGAGGAGGAGGATGCATCCCAATCGTCGTCTTTATACCGTATGATACTATATAATATTATCATATATTATATATTTATATGGTATACACGAATATTATAATAGTATAGATCATTCGACGACGGATTTATTATGTCCTAACCCGATGGTTTAACGTCGTTTTAATTGGTCGTGTGTGTATGTGTGTGTGTGTGTGTGTGTGTGTGTGTGTGTGTGTGTTTAGATCTCAACGAATGATTTAATATATCTGGTCTGTACGCCAGTCTTTTAAAAACCCATTTCTGCCGTACATTATAATAATATATGCATTCGCCGACGACGGTCCCGCATCATTATAAAAACATTACCGTTCGTCATCAGTCGCCGTGCAATTATTATTATTATTACTAAACGCGTCCTGCAGGAATCGTTTTTATTATTATAATTTCGTCCGGCCCGCGTCGAGATTTTTTCGGGAAGTCATATTCCCCGCCTTTGACGTTTCCGACCGGTTTTATACAAATTTTCTCCGAAAATCCGTTGGCCCGAAACGAACTTTTTCGTCGGGTAGTATTATACGTATAGGTACGTCATGCGTATGCCACGACCACACCCCGCCGCCGCCGACGGTATACGTTGGTGTTTTTATTACGACGTTTCACAAAAAGAAATAATTAGCCAAGTCTGCTAGCGACTATATAATATAAGTTATAATACTGCTTTTATATTATATGTACAACGGACGTATCGTGACATTTTTATTCGAAACAACTGCGGGGCAGTGCAGTACGCCGCGAACATCGGGCTACTCCACGCGTTAAAATCGCGGTGAATATTGTTAAAAATATGTTTGCAGAGCTCGCGATAAGCGTAAAACGCGCGAGATTTTATTTTTACTGCAAAAGTTTTATGTACTAAATCCTCTAATACGCGCACGCGTTTTTTTTTTACGAGACGTCTGGTAGAGTTTAATTAATGCCTGGGCGGTAGAGTTGACGTTTTACCTCCATAAAATTTGATAAACGTTAAAAACATATAATCTTGCGCCGGTATATTAAAATGATATAACGTGCGCCGGGAGAGTAAAAAAAAAAACATTGCAGAATGCGACAGACAACTATCAGCTATATAGGTAACTATAATATATGTACATTTCTGCGGGGCATGACAACATGACTTTTTTTATGTAGTCCGAACTGCGTGGTTCATAATTTTGTAGTCGTCGCTAAAAGTTGTTATATTGCGGTATTTAAAAACCCAAAGTTTGTTCCATTGTGATAAAAATGTAAATAATAATTATTGAAATTTTTCGAACTTGTAAATACTAACCACTCGAAATGAAAAAAGAATAACATCTCAATTCTATAAATGTTATATATTTTATTTTAAAAACAACAAAAAATTATATAATTTATTCCATTTAAATTCTATTATAGGTACCTATGTAATTTGTATATATATACAAACAAAATTGTCAGTTTTCAATTCATTTTGGCATTATATAGATAACATTTCAAATGTTCATGTATTGCGGGTTGTATAGAAATATTTAACGGCTAATTAAAATGTAACGCATCCATCGTACATCACGAATCACTTGTATTACACTATAATATATTTTATGTTTATGTTGCGAACGTTAAAAGATTTAAAGAGCTATTAAACCAAGACATTATAGTAAATATTAGTTTATGGGTTATGACGTTGAGTATTAAACGGTACCTATATATTTTAATGGTATCAAACGGTGTTGATCCTAAATTATATAATTATTTTAAATGTATTTTTGCGAACGGCGTTCGGCATTTCTGCTTCAGCCTCAACATATTATGCGTACGAATTAACATTTTGTTGTTTTGAAATGTTTAATAAAACGGAAAGATATTTACATATTATAATTTCGTGTGTTTGGACTTAAAAATATTGTTCACTCAGCCAATGAGGCATTAACCACGAAGGGGCTTGATACATGCTTTTTATATCTGACGTGCACATTGCCATTTGGCATAACAATGCGAAGGATTTTTTTCGCGATAAACCTTGATTTTTTTTTATTCTCAACCACCCATGAAGTCGGTATTTTTTATGGCCTTCGTTTTGGATTTTATATAAGATATTTTGCTCGACCGCGTGTCTCTCGTATGTAATATATAGGCTGTTATTAATTCTCATGCCCGCTAATCGTTTTCAAAATTGTCCGTATACCTATTGGCTATTATAAGGACGGACAGTTTATGTATTAATATACCTATACAAATCTGCAGACTGTTGTGCGTCGGGAATGACATTTTGTAGGTAAATAGTAAGTGCCTCCTAAGCTGTATATAATATGTACAAACTACATATATATTGGCCTTTAGCTATATTTTTGCAGTTCATCCTTTATGAGTTATCGGGTGTACAACGAATACATTTTATCGTTAATGGTTTGCTGCAATGTTGTTAAAAAAACTAATGACATTTCTAACATCGTTTTTCTTCGAGAACCGTCGCTACTATACGCGCGTGGGCTTTTCTCGTATACACTATATATATATATATATATATATATAAATAATATACTAAAGGGGTTTTTGAACTTTTCTTTCCGTCGTCGGCGTTATATTTTATACATCGTTCCAACAAGTTTCCACCCGTTCTCTTACATCATCATGAGTAAATTATAATCAGCGATTGTATATATATATAGGTATATTCTCTTTCAGACTATTTCGACTATTTCAAATTTTGATTTGATTTCTTTATGATGAGTCATATTATACTTTCAGTGATTAGTCATTATTTTCGTCACAAAATGTGTATCACTAATATAACACATAATATTTAGCGTTAGAGTTTTTTAACCCTATAAAACACTATAGGTAAGCAAAAGCATAAAAAATCCAATAATAAAATCACATAAAATGATTTCGAAAAAAATCATTTTAAAACGTTAATTATATTTTATTTTTCGAATTTTATATAGTATAATATATGACTTATCGCAGTACATCAGTGATGAGCAACTCAATGCTAATAGAGCTCCAATTTTAAAAGTGCGAAAATCTAGCGGGCCAGAGAACATATAGAAAGAAAAAAAAAAAAGGTGGGTAAGTTTATGTCGCTCTGCTGTACAGTAGGTTACAAGTGGGTCACTGTATAATGGATGCTTTTAAATTTGAATTCAATGATACAATATCATTGTATAAGAAAAACGATTCTGAGCGAAGACGGTATGTCAGTCTAGGTTTAAGACAAATTATATACATATCTATGGTATTAAAAAAAAAATTGACCTGTAATAAATTCCAAATTAAACATATCACATTATCACAATATCCATTAGGTACTTATAACACGTTATACATCAACATCAATAACAAACCCTGATACTATCATAGATATATAATAGTACACTTTAGAAGTTTCAAGTAGGTACCCACGAATAATATTATATAATCATAACAAAATAACTAGGTTTTTTAATATGTAATTTCGTCCTAATTTGAACATAAAATGACTATAAAAATAAACTGTGATTGTATATTTTTTAGATTTTTCGGTAAGAGAATTAACTACTTACGTGGAATCTTGTTTTAAATTTTCAATCCTTAGCTATAAAAACTGAACATTTTATAATTTATTAATTACGATGATTAATAATTTTCGAGATTTTGAAAAATTCTGTCAAAATTCGATGTTTAAATGCTTATAAAAAAAAATTGTGCCTATATATTTTTAATATTTTTCAATTGATATTGTAACAATATGTCAGGAGCCTTGTATTAAATGTTTACACTTTTTGGCCCAACAGATAAAACTTTATTGATATTCATAGAAAAAAAAACTAAAAAAATTGAAAAATGAAAATGTCCGTAAACAGCTCAAAAAGACTCAAAATATTTTCAAAATCGTATGGTGTATAGGAAATGCTAATATAAACATTCAGTGAAATTTTCATGTATCTACAGTTATTCGTTTTTGAATTACAACAAAATAAGGAAATCGCTACATGAGAAATCGAGTGAATAACCAATGTTGTAAAAATTTGAATTTCAAACGCTCATAAAAATTTAATTTAACTGTCCGGTGGAGATTTTTTTATTGATACAGGTAGACAAACTTATGAGTAATCTTGTATTACATTTTCAAATCTTAGATTTAAAAGGAAAAATTTTTACGAATTCTTAACTCAAAATAATTTGCTAATTTTCGTGATTTTTCCATATTTTGTCAATTTTTGAACTTTAAATGCTTATAAAAAAAAACTGTGACTAAGGATTTTTAATATTTTTCATCTGCCTTTGAAATAATATATTAGAAGCCTTCTATTAAATTTTCAAGCTTTCGCAACCAACAAATAAAATTTTATTGATATTTCTAGAAAAAAAACTAAAAAAAAAATGAAAAATGAAAATGTCCCTAAACTGTTCAAAATAAATCAAAATATTTTGAAAATGTTATCGTGTATAGAAGATGCAAATATAAACAACCAGTGAAAATTGCATGTACCTACGGTCATTTGTTTTAAAGTTACACCAAAAACCAAATTCAATTTTCTGAAAAATCGATTTTGCGTAAAAATTCCCGTTTTTCCTTAATTTTTCTTTTGTTTTTCTTGGCGCCTTTGAAAAGTACTGGGAATTTTAAATTTTGACCTCCCCAATGCACCAACGATATTCACTTTCCAATCGAACAAGATACTGAAGTCGAAAATCGAAGCATTATTT